GCTGACTGGCGAACATCACCTGCCTCTGCAGAGACTAGACTGGAAATATAGGACAGAAGAGAGTAGAATGCCACTCAGTGATTACCACCACGCTTTGATTGAGGGATTAAAACGGGCAGCCCGGAAGCCCACTAACTATTCCAAGGTGTCCAATACGAGACAAAGTCGAAACGAATCACCTACAGCATTTCTTGAGCGCCTCCTGGAGGCATACCGAGAATATACAGACATAGATCCAGAGGTCTCGACAAACTTCCCCCTCATTAACCTGACCTTCGTAACTCAGTCTGCCCCAGACATACGTAGGAAAATAGAAAGAATAGATGGATTTATATACAAGAGTAGGTCAGAATTATTGGCAATCGCCCAGGAAGTGTTTTACAATAGAGAGAGTGAAGAAGAGCTGCTGGTGAAGAAAATGGCTCGGATTGTGATCACTGCCCAAGAATCTGGTGCCTTCAATCTTGACCAAACAACATACAACAAAAACAGGAAACCCCTTCGAAGAGACCAATGTGCTTACTGCAAGAAGTTGGGGCACTGGAAGCATGAATGCCCCAAACAGAAATGGGTAGGTCCTCCCTGGCCAAGGCCATGTTTGGCTTGAGGAGAATTGTGGAGCCATAGCTCTTTCAAGTAAGGCCCCCAAGAGTCTATGGTAATCTTTTTAATTAGTGCTAACCTGTAAACTTCCTAGTCAACATGGGGGCTTCACATTTGGTATTACCAAAACCCCTGGGGCCTCTCACCAAACAATGGAAATGCAGGGGCCAACAGGTGAAGTCAGAAAATATACTACAAAATGGACTGTTAATCTGGGAAAGGGGACAGTGATTCTTTCCTTCATCATTGTCTCTGAATGTTCCCATTCTTTTTTGCTGGGAAGAGACCTCCTAAGTAAGCTCCAGGCAACTATCTCATTCTCAGGAGATATGACTAAGCTACAACTAGGGTGCCTAGCCACCATCCTGAAGCTTTGAAGGCTGTCCTGAAACTAGCTCTTATAGACCAGGCTGGTCTCAAACTCAGAGATCCACCTGCCTCTGCCTCCGACCATCACCTGTCCCTTAAAGGAGTACTTCCTCCTTTAGGGTCCTACCCAGGTTCCTGAGGGGAAATTAAAAGAGCAATTGATCAGGAATGTTCCAACTGTCTGGGCCAAAGGCAGTCCTGGTCTGGACAAGCATGTGTTGCCAGTTATAGTTCAGCTGACTTCTGAGGCCATGCCCATCTGAGTAAGACAGTACCCCAACAGTATAGAGACCAGAAAGGGACTCAAGATCCATCTCAGTTGCCTCTTCAAGGCAGGCATACTCATTCCATGCCAGTCATCCTGGAACACACCCTTATTACCAGTACAAAAACCTAGGATCAAGACTACCAACCAGTACAGGATTTAAGGAGAGTGAATAAGCAGGTGGAAACTGTTCCTGACCCTTATACTCAGCTCAGCATGCTGCTGCCTGAGCATAAGGTTTATACTGTGCTGGATTTAAAGGATGCATTTTTCTCTATTCCTTTTCCCTTAAAAAAACAAACAAACAAACAACTAGGGTTCTACTTGAACTCGGTTGCGTGTCATCTTTCTCAAGCTGCTTTTTTAAAATTACAGCATTAGAGAGTTCCTGGGTACAGTTTGGTATTACTGCCTTTTGATACCCAGGTTTGCTGAAATTGTCAGACTCTGTCTCAGCCATGGCAGGGGCTAACACCCTTTCAAGTACACTGAGGAAAATTAGCAGGTCTTAAAAAAACTTGAAAGGGTCTCTTGTGCGGGCTCTTGCTTTAGCTCTCCCTGACATCTCCAAGCCTTTCCACCTCTATGTCCATGAGAGAAAGGGCATTGCCAAAGGAATCCCAACCCAAGTCCTGGGTCCCTGTAAAAGTCCAGTTGCCTACATTTCAAAAAGATTCTTTGGATCCTGTGGCCTCAGGATGGCTCCCTGGTCTATGAACTACAGCAGCTACCATAATCCTTGTAAAGGAATCAAACTTAGCCTGGAACAGAAGTTGACCATAATGACCCCACATGCATTGACAGACTCTATTAAGAGATGCCACTAGTTGCTAGATGTCTAATGCTCGTCTAACCCAATATGAGTCCCTTCTCCTAGATAAGGATAGATTGGCTTTTGACAAATCTATAGCTATCAACCTGATACCCTATTACTGGACAGTGACCCTCAGGACACCATATATGACTGCCTGGAGATTCTGGATGTCATTCAGGGTAGCTGACTGACGGCCGTCATGGATGTTAGTCAAGGATGCTAACCTTTACACCAATGGCAATAATTTTGTCTGTGAAGAAATTAGGTACACTGGGGCAGCAGTAGTTATGGGCCAGAAAGAAGTCACTTGGTCACAAGTGGCACATTGGCCCAAAGAAAGAAATAATAACCTTAATTCAAGTGTTGAAATGGGCCAAGGGAAGCAAAATGGAACATTTACACAGACAACCAATACACCTTCACCACTGCTCATGATCACAGACAAATATACAAAGAGAACTATTAACCTCAGAAGGAAAAACATTATGAAAAGGGGATCATCTAATTGTTGGAAGTCTTGTGGCCATAGTTCTCTGGTGGGAACATGAAAAGGACAGTAGACCCCAAACCAAGGGGAATAATTATGCAGTTCAGACAGCCATGGATGCAGCTCTTGTGGACTCTTGCCTCCAAACCATCTTGGAGCTGTTGGCCATTCCTGAGCCCCCACTCTGCTTTAATGAAGACACCCCTATGAACTCTCCAAAGGAGACTGAATTATACCCAGTCTATTAAGGAACTGGTTAATTGCCATCCTCAAAGCAATGTACTTATTACCTAAGAAAATTTCAGTACTTATCTCTCCCCATGTTTGGATACCCAGACATTGGGAGATACTTCAAAGCATGTCAAATCACTACTTGACCTGCACTCAGGAGAATACAAAAATGTATATGTTGTCCCAAAAGATCTTCCTTGCAGAGGGGGAGGGTGTGTGTGATGGGGGGGGTGAGGGGAGGTGTTGATGGTGGTGATAGTTTTGTAGCCCGAGAGGCACAAATTTGCTTCCCTGGGCTGGACAGGCATAAATCAGGATGCCTTACAAGTTGTTTTGTTTGTTTGTTTGTTTCCCAATTGTAAATGACCATACCCCATTCCAAGTTGGAAGGGACAGAGTTTGCAGTAATCAGCTTTCAGATTGGGCTGATTTGAAGTTATAATGGTGGCCAACACCTAACCTGCATCGGTGAATCTAAGCACCCTTTTGCAAGTGGCTGGTCTATGTGGGTTATTAGAGTGGAAGCTCAAGGGTAAGGACTTAACCAAACAGATCAAGACTAACTTTATGGCTTCCACAGTCTAAGGAAAGGAGTATAAGTAAAGTCAGTAACAAAGCAGTAAACCTGAGAGATCTTAACTTTGAGGGGATCCCATTCAGTCGCTTTCCATTTTTGACAGCCCTCCCCTTCTCCCATAGGATCCACCAGTGCTTTCTTGAGATATGAATGTTACCAACCTGGTCAACCTGGATGCAGTGGGCACCCAGACAATCATGATATATCTTGGTTCCATGTAGTCATTTTTGAAATGGTGGTCTAGAACAGTGTCACCAGGTTGGAACAGGTAGTCAGGCAGGCAGTGCCTGATCCGTTGTGTAGCCTGGATTTGAGGAAAGCTGTTACCCAGAGTTAATTGTAATCTCTTCAGGGATTCAGAGATTAGGTAATCTGTTAATAGCTCTTTATGTACTCTGGTGACCATGGGGGGTGACCATCCATAAATTATTTCATATGAAATGAATTTTTCCCAATGGGGGTGCAACATGCCCTTAGCAGGGCAAAAGACAAGAGTCAACCTGGTTACCACCAGTCTCAAGAATATATCTAATGAGAATTTCTTTTAAGGTTCTATTCATTGTTTCTATCTTTCCTGAACATTGACATGAAGATAATACATGCAATATAGTTTCCAATTTATATTGAAGGCTTCTGAAGTTGTTTGAGACAGTTTGGCCATGAAGGCCAGGGCATTGTCAGACCCCAGAGTTGAGGGGAAGCCCAGTCCCCTTTATTCCAATTTTTTCAGTGTCCCCTAAAGATGCCGTCGCCCCCAGACAGCAGGAAGCAATTTTAAGAACACGACACCCACATTCCCAAGAGGTGGGGGTGGGCAGTTTTTGGCTGTTCAGTGGGTTATGGATATTTGTCATCATTTAAGGGGGGTTGGTTACAAGTTGTTATTGGTAATGGTCAGGAAAAACGCTGAAAAAAGGAGATTAGATTCTGGGATTTCATTCTGAAAAGAAAAAGGGGGATATAGAAATGATAAGATAAAAGGGTAGATTATTGAATCTACTTTTAAACCAAATAAGCAACTACTTGTTTTGAATATTTTACACTGGTATGGATTTTTGTATATTGATACAAATTTGAGGTTATTTTTGTTATACTGTTTAGATGTTTCTACTCTTGTTTAAGATATTTTTGTATATTGATACAAATTTAAGGTTATTTTTGTTAGAACATACTGTGTATGCATTTCTATTTTTTGTTTAAGGTATTGTACCTATACAGCTCATTTAACAAGGTAATGTAAATGTCTAGTCCTTGAAAGTTATTATTACAAACTATTTAGGATAATGAAGAAATACAGGTTAGTAGTTACCTATTACAATCAAACTTGTAGTCATGTTAGGTATGTTTTCAAGGTCAAACATATATTTTAGATAGGCAAGTGGTCTTCAAACACTTCAGAGATCATCAGAATATGGCATTTAAGATGTTTTAATAACAAGGTTTTCTTTTTCTTTCTTTTTTTTTTTTTATGACAATGAGACATGTCTGGTCCTGGCAGCACCAATTAACTTCATAGAAGATGATGGGCGTCAAAGAACCTCCATTTGGAGTTTGCTCTCTTTATGGCAAAAATAAGCCACTGGGCAAGAAGTGCCCTTTCCTCGACTGCTGACAGCATGCTGTCCAAATTGGACAAGCAGGACACAAAAGAAAGTGACTGCCAAACTTTGCCAAGACAAGGCTGGTCAGTCCTTCTAAATTCCTGCTTTAAAGAAAAGTCTGTCAGATATTCTAGGCCTGTAGGCTGAAGATGGATGCCCCAACGTTACAGAGGAACCTTTGGTGACTGTCCAGACAACCAGCTGTTTCTGTCATTTCTTAGTTTTGGAAGTTGTTTGCTCTGCACTTCCTGTTTACAAAGGTAATATGATATCATTCTAATGTCTCTGATGGAGTTGAAGACTAGATAGTTATGGTTTTCCTTGTTACCAGATTCAGAAAAGAAACTCACAAAATAGGTGTAAAGTGTATAACGTTGAGAGACATAAAAGGATAGTTTTGGATTGGCAATACAAGTTAGGATAGAAAGCGAATTACAACACTTTGGACTCACCAAGATAGGATAGGTAATGGAGTATTTAGGTTGAGAGACATAAAAGGATAGTTTTGGGTTGGCAATACAAGTTAGGATAGAAAGCTAATTACAACACTTTGGACTCACCAAGATAGGATAGGTAATGGAGTATTTAACTCTAAATTTGCCAAATGCAAGTAGAGTGGACATTGTTAATATAATTCTTACCTAGTAATTGTTCTTATTGTCTATAGTTTTATGTTAGAATAAAACTTTACTTTTTTATTTAGACAAAAAGGGGGAAATGGAATATTCCTTTACACTGTGTGAATATATGTCACTGATTGGTTTAATAAAGAAGCTGACTGGCCAATAGCTGGGAAGAAAAGGGCAGAGTCTGGGAGTCAGGAACAGATGCAGAGAGAAGCAAGATGGGCATGCTATGCTGAGAAAATGTACCAAGCCACATAGCAAGGCATAGATAAGAAATATGATTTAATTTAAAAATGTAAGAGTTAGCTAGTAATAAGCCTGAGTTATTGGCCGAGCATTTATAATTAATATTAAGCGTCTGTGTGGTCACTTGGGAGCGACTGGTGGGACA